GGCAGGCCTGTAGACGTAATACGAAGTCTGGTGTCACAAACACTTTATTTCAATTCCAAGCAATAAACTATATGGTTTTCCCTTCAAAGTCATACCCCACGAGTATAATACACTTTTCCATCATTCTCTGTCAAGCTCTTATGCACTGCTGGAAGGATTCTTGTTGGATGCCCTTCAGCTCCGTCATTGCGATCTTCTTGATGGCCTTTAAGCCTTCAAAACTGGTCCCCTTGACGACCCCCTTGAGCTTGAAGAAAAGAAAAAGTCACATGGAGCAAGATCGGGTGAATAGGGATTTGTTCCTGTACGGCAATGTTCTTCTTGGCCAGGAACTGACGGATGCTCAGGCGTTGCGTGCAGGTGCATTGTTGTAGTGAAGCAACCACTATGTCCTGTCACAAAAGCATGTGAAAAAATGCAATGGTTGCAGAATGCTAAGATTACAGTTAGATACTCCCAAGAAATCATGTTAGATTAGGTACCTTCATGAAATAGCTAAAAAAAAAAAAGAAAAGAAAAAAAAGCATAGGATAATAAATACGGCATTAAACTTGATGAAAATGAAATCGTATCGTCTAAATGTTTATGTTATTATTAAGAGGAGAAACCAAAGTATTTTTAATTATTTTTTTTTTAATTTTTGCATCCTTTTTAGAACATTCTACGTTTTGATTAAAAAAATCATGTTTCTCTTTGCAAAACTGTCATTACTAAATAACATTACAAATGTTAGCGTCTTTTTTGCAGTGAGAGACGTTAATTTTGAAAATCTTGCAAAAAAAAAAAATAAAATAAAATAAAATAAAACCAAAACTGTCGGATTTTAATGAAAATTTCAAGATTTATTCACAAATGATTTAAATTATTTTAAATACGTTTTTTTTTTTTTTTTTGAAAGTTAGGGTAAAAATATTTTTTTACATCTGTTACACCCCCCCCAATAACTAATTTTATGAAAACTCTAGAATTTCAATGCTGTTTTTTTTTCTTTTATTTTTAAAACAGTTCACCCCAAGCAAGGCGGGAGTGCCACTAGCACGCAAGGGGTTAAAGAGGATTGAGAAAAAGAGTAAAGAGGCGTGTTTGGGGAAAGGAAACAGAAAAGGACGGGGAACAAGCTCAGAGTGTCAGATGTCGGTTGACATTACACTTGAATATTTGAAGATTATAGTCGTCGGGGAAGCAAGTAAGGGGAAAGGAGTTGCACAGACGGGAAGTGCGGGAGAAGAAGATGTTTGGGAAGAAGGGACGGTTACATTTAACATCTTTGACAGTGAAAGGGTGGGGCCGAGAGGCCAGCCTGGTATCCCGCTTAAATTCATGCAGTCTGGGAACCAGCGAAAGAAGCTGGTCGGAACAGTTGCCGTGAAAATACTTGTAGAAGAGACAGGGGGAAGTGAATATATTAGCTAAAAGAATATAAAGCATCAATCCAGCTCTGAATTGTTACATTAAAAATTAAAAAAAAAACAAAACAAAAAAAAATGATATTATTTAATTTCAAAATCTTTTAGTTGTTTTAATGAATAATGGCAATATTGTCTGAAGGCAAACATTTTTTTCATCAAGTTTAAGGCCGTTTCTATGCTCTTTTTGTAGCAATTTAATGAAGTTACCTTTGTTAAATGATAACTATCCGCTTCTCCCTTTTTCGCCCAGACCGCACACAGAACACCCAATCCTGTTACTTTTCAGACAGACATCATATACATTGTTGAAAAATATATCTGAACATTAATAAAAGAACATAAACAGCAGAACGAGAACAACCTTCCCTGTAGATTTAATAAAGTGATCACTTGGAAGTTCTTTAAGTTCGACAGAAACCTCAAGAAGGCCGGAGAGGACAACGACCGAAATCGTGCGATAATAAAAGCAAAGATGCAAAACAGTGCTGTTGTTTTTTTTATCATTTCACCCCAAGCAAGGAAAGAAATCCACTAAGACGCAAAGGATTATTGAGTGTGACAGAATATGAGAAAAAGCAAACATTATTAAGGAGAGAGGACAACAAAAGAACAGGAAATTATGAAAACAGAAGATAACGATTGATGTTGGATTTAAATTTTTGAAAATGGAAGTTGGCTGGAAAACAAGAAGCCGGAAAAGAGTTCCACATTCGAGAAGTGCGAAAGAAAAAATACCGTTAGCATAGAACAGGGTGTGTTTTTTAGTATGTTTTGCTGGGTGGTATATATGTGTCGTATACGAAGTCTAGTTTAGGGCGCTATTTAAGCTAGCTCTTGTGGAGGACTCTTGGTTTGGCCATCATCACAATTGCTAAGGAGGAGGAGATGCCATAGGCATCAATAAACTACAGAAGAAATCAAAATTCATCGCTGCATTTAATTATTGAATTAAAGTTTATGGTTACCTTTTAAAAGTTCAACGATAATTTTTCTGCTGCCACTTAATTTAAAAAAAAGATTTGATGTACGTGGGTCCTTACTTTCCGTATAAACAATTATTTTTATTTCATGGGAGACAGAAGAGGGGACAATTTATAAGATAAAATTAATATATTTTGAAGATGGGAAAATAGAATTTGGAATAAGTTATATATTCAACATTTGAAGAATTAGAGAAACATAGTAGCTTACTTGAACCGGCTTCTAATGCCCTGGACTGAGCGGCTTGGGTATAATAGTCGTAGCTGGGGCGGAGGCACAGTCCTCATGGGTAAAAGAGAAACCCGGACGAGTTCCACCAAGGAATTTGTGATCGAGCGGCGCTGTATCGAGTCTAATTCGTTACATCTTCGTCACCGAGAACCATTTAAATATACGATTACGTCTAGCATGAAACAGCCTGTCACCTCTGAGTGTTGACTTCAATGTTCACGTTTTTATTTATATTTACCTACGCTCCCTCTCTCTCTCTCTCTCTCTCTCTCTGTCTCTATCTCTCTCTGATATTGAGAACTTTTATTCCATAAATATAGCACACCTTAAAACTATATTTCTTCATATATATATATATATATATATATATATATATATTGGTTGGATAGATGTGAGTTTGTGACTACATCTATCCAACCAAATATGTTAGCTCTATCTCTGATATTGAGCGCTTTCTAATAAGTATTATGCCTATAATATATAAATAATTATACATATATATATTTATTTATATTTATATACACTTTTTTCACACACACACACACACACACACACACACACACACACACATATATATATATATATATATATATATATATATATATATATATATATCGTTTCACCTATTGAATGTGAAGTCTGAAGATCAAGATTAAATTATTCGCACTGAATTAACATTGAGCTCTCAGTATTTCATACTCCTTGGGATTATCCATTCGGATTACCAAGATTTTCGTTACTTAACTATATCTATCTATCTATCTATCTATCTATCTATCTATCAATATATATATATATATATATATATATATATATATATATATATATATATATATATATATATATATATATATATATATATAGATTAGGTTATAGTGCTGTATATATAGTTTCTACTAGACTCTATGAATTACTTAATTAGGATTATTTCAAATCCTCTTAATTATTTTCTCTGTATATCCTTACTTGAACCGGCTTCTAATGCCCTGGGGTGAGCGGCTTGGGGTTAGTAGTCGTAACTCGGAGAGGCACAGTCCTCATGGGTAAAAGAGAAACCCGGAGATGTTCCACCACGGAATTTGTGATCGAGCGGCGCTATATCGAGTCTAATTCGTTACCTCTTCGTCACCGAGAACCATTGGTACAGTTGGTAGGACGTTTGCCTCCTATTGTAACTGTGCGGGTTTCAATTGTCGGTAGTGGATGCAAACTGCAGATGAGTCCCAAATATAGGATGAAACGGCGGTCCAGTGCTTTCTTCATTCTGTTGAGGTTTATAGACCCGATGAATTACTTTATTATATTTATATATATATATATATATATATATATATATATATAGATTTACCACCATCCGCAGGTTTTTTTCACCTAAACGGATCGTCAGGGGAAAGTTTGGCCAAACTTTCCCTGACGATCCGTTTAGGTGAAACCTAGGTAGGTTTTGTGTGGTTCACTAGGGTGTATCTAGGGTCTGTTCTACGGTTGTATTGAGCTCTTTTGTTAGTTAGTTGTTACTCGTATCGGGGTTTTTTCTTTGGGCTTCAGACCTGCATCTGTGCGATTTTTTTTTGTCGGCAGAAGTTCATGTTTGTAGCTCTTTCTTTTTTAAAACCTTTTTTCCCTCGAGATTGATTTGATTATTGGCAAATCAAAAATTCGAGGGTTTTTCAAAACGAGTCTAGTTATATATATATATATATATATATATATATATATATATATATATATATATACTCGACTATCTCGTCGAATTCGACGTATGAGGGTCAAGCAAATCAGTTCCAAGGAAACTGATAGCCCGATGTCAGTACATGAGATTTGATTATAGTGGTGAAGGTTTCGTGCAGGACCATCCACACTTTTTGAAGGGACGAATACAGAGACCTGGTGCACCGAATGCCACAAGGTTCCCAAACGACCCTCCGCAGGTTTTGAATTCAGAGTTGTCCTTCTCCTAGACCAGTTGCCACCCAAGGCTATAAAACCCAGTCTGTTCTGCTTTTTGCCCATAGCTGGAGGCAGAAGAGGATTCACACCTTTCCCAAGTGTATTAGCACGTAAGTGAATGTAATGGATTCGACTGGAATTCAAACTCGGCTTTCCGATTCCTCAATCCAAGCCGCTTATCTGGCATAGACCATTCCATTTGTATCGTCTTTTGTTAAGTTGATGTTACTTAAGAGTGAAATTATCTACAAAAAAAACGTAGCCTTAGGTAGGAGGGCTGCGAGGAGAGTGCTCACACCAGTAGAATCATTGTGTGAGTCGTGTTTTCGACCCTAATCCTAAGTCCGTATTATCTAGTCTAGGAATTCAACTCCATCAATAGAAATCCCACAATTTATTTTAACTGAATTATGACAACTCGATTCTGAC